AAACTTCCCACGCTCCTGTTGAGGGCTAAGGGAATGCTTATCTCCTCGAGCGCGGCCTTCACCCAACCATTCCTTCACAGGACTCCAATGAAAAATCCTGCTGATTGTTATGTTTTATCCTTTGACCACTAGGAGAAAGCAACTTTTTCTCTTCTGAAGTACAGGCACTTGTGCAAGAGGAAAGCTGCTGTGATGGTATGTGGGAAAGACCTTGGGAGACTGGGCCAAGAGACACTGCTTAGGGAATGGTCAGATAAGAGACAGCACAACCCTCAGCTGGATAGTGAGTGGGGCAAGAGGCTCAGAAGGGACCCTCCCTAGTTTCTCAGGCTGTAAAGGAGACGGGGGAGAACTGTATTTTCAGACTTGCAAGATTCTGTTAATGTAACCTTACCATAAAGTAGAATTAGCTCACCTGGTTGTTTCCTATCTGATCTAGCTAGTAAGGCTGACAGCTGCTGACTCAGGAAGATACTAACTACTGACTGAACTGACACCGGACGCAGGCGGAAAGCAGTCATTATTCCACTCAGGACTATGCAAAGGTGGGTCCAAGAGTCACATACGCATGACGACACCATCAGGCAAAGGCCACGACTTATGTACTTTGCCAGTTGTCATGATGCAAGCAAGGCATTGCGGGTGTGTCACTGTTTTTGTGCCTTTGCACTTTGTAACAGATGTTGCTGCCTTTTCTTTAACAGCTGTGGGACCCTGGCTGTAGTCTGGGATATGGCCAGTGGAAGGGATTAGCAAATTGGGAAATATGCTTTTCATAAATATTTGTTTCCTTGCACCCCGGTTACAAATCAGTATCTTGACCGGACTGGAGTGATAATGCAATGCTCCTAGACTCAAACCTATTCTGAAGAAGAACGTTCTCATTTCCCCGCTAATTAACTAACCCACCAATACATGTGTGCAAGAGGCCACTGGGGGAGATTTCTCTCCCACTTTTCCAACCACCAGGGATTCAGCTAGCTTGGGTTCACACTGCTGGAGCTGGCAACACACCAAAGATGGTGCGTAAATCTCTTGATGGCTTCACCATGCGTGCATACGTGGGCATCACAGCTTGTTGAGCAACCATGTTTAAATAAAGCACAGCTTAGCATGATATATGAATCCCACCCTGGTTTCATGGATTCTGCCCAATTTACCTTCTCGTATCCCATAGGAGAACTCTCCTTCATATTTTCCACCATTTCCATAACGAAAGACCCCGTGCCCGTGAAGTTCTCCACAGAGGAATTGGCCGGAATAAGTATTCCCTTGAACCAAAAATACAGTACAGTAAAACTCAGGGGAAGTTCTGGCAAATGCAGTTTAATAATCCTTGCTATTCCCATAAAGATTTTGATGGTGCCTTTCTCAGCATGAGACATTCCAAGTGAGTAATTACCAGCTGCTTTTTTTATTATCAGGACAGCTTCAAGAACAAAGAAAGTGTTCATTGGGTCTTTATCTTACAAACTAATGGAATCATAGTCCCTATTCTGTCAGGTTTTTACAACCAAGGTATCTTAAAAAGACATTAGTGCTGCTAAAAAAAAGAAGGAACAGAATAAAAGAGATCCAAAGATTGTTTTTTATGGTTAAGGAGATGAAGAAATATTTTTATTTCATAGATAACCTAACAGCTTTTCAGTGGCACATGTTCATTCAAATTCCCCATTTTGGAGAAGGTGGTATGCTGAATATAATTAAAGGAGAGTCCCAAGTCCTTTTGGACATAGCGGGACTTATCTCAAGATAATGCTGCTAAGCACGGGGTTGCTTTAGCCATTTCACATACTATGCAACATACATTCCATTACAATTGGGGCTTCAGTGTGAAATGCCTGGCAGTAGCTGTGCAGGACTTTGCTGTAAAGCATTCCATTTCGGCTTTGAACACATATACTTGGGGAAGGAAGGTGTGCTTGAGCGCTTATTAACTCACAGCAACACAACTTCTTACGTGGGAGCCCTTTTGTATAAGACACATCTCCTACAATTTCTAGCTGACATGATGGGAACGATGGTGTCACGCCTGGAGACTGACACAGACAGCCGTGAGGTTCTTATTGTACGTAATCCAATACACTTGAGGCAATAAAAGAGGCATTTTTTCCCCCATCGTGCTCGGAAGAATGCCAAAATTTAAAGCAACAATAAACTCAACAGAAAAGGCTCCAAAATATTGAATGCGGACTAAAGGTGTTTAGTTGGCTGACCAAGCGGGTAAGAAATAGAAAATCCATGAAAAGGGAGAATGGAACAAAACATCCCAAATCTGGGAATGGGGATATTGAATGGAATACTAATGGAAGCAGATTGCACACCATCTTTTTTGTTTTATAATAGGCACCAGTCACAACTCTAACCTGTAGATGCCCAGTATCTGAGTCCGTGGCCAACAATTTCTCCATTCGCAAATTCGCCTTCATAATAACTCCCATCTTTGAACAGTAACTTCCCATGTCCTGGAAAACAAAGATCATTTAAATGCATTCTGGGTAAAGAATAGAAGTTGCCTTGACACACTGACGAACTCAATGGATTGGAGAATATGAGGAAGAGAGAGAAACACACACTCAGATTAACAGTGCAATTCTATGTCACTTCTCTGAAAGAAGGCATTTGCCATGACAGGGGTTTGAAATCTTAAATTTATTGGACTCTTTTTGCAAAGACGGACAGTCTTCAGAAATGTTCTATTTCGCACGTGATAAAGTCACTAATAAAGTTGATTCACAGAAAACTTGCACCTTTTAGTTTACACCACTGTGGTCAATAGTTTAATTTACACAGAAATTAATATACTTGTGTTCTGTGTGGTACCTGCTTATCAAATTTCCAGTGAGGGGTCAAATTAGTCCATTGGGGCAAAAAAACCAAGGAGTTCTGCAGCTTCTTAAGGATTAACCAATTGCAGTGCAATAAATTATGAAATACTGTAGGTGTGAAAAGCTATCACTCTGATGCCATCTAATGGTCAAGAATATAAATATATTCCATCAAATACATCTCTTTGGAAATACTGAATGGTAAGGCCATTCCTTACTCTATTTTGAGGTTAAAACAGGAATTTGGAATCTTGATCAACTGCAAAAAGTGACTATATTAAAGATGAAAAATTTAAATAATCTGAAGAGAAACCAGAGTATGTTTTAATTCTCTTTTCACTGTTTTTAACTTGCTAGTCATTTACCATATTTTCTATCGAATAAATAATTAAAATGTACAGGTAGTCCCCAGTTTAAGAACGAGTTCCGTTCCCGAGGTCTTTAAGTCAAATTTGTATGTAAGCCAGAACAGAATTATTGTATAATACTGTCTAAGTAGCATTGTGTAATTAACTCCAACCGTTGTGTATTTAACTCAAATTTTGCTACAGTAGGCTCTGTTCTTACCTATGGGTCATCTGTAACCTGGGCATTCTTAACCCGGGGACTACGTGTATTAATAATAAATATTTAATAATAATAAAGATGCAGTACAGCCAATTAATACTCAAAGACCTGATACTCCAGAAATGTGTTCAGCCATTCACTGTATTGGCTGACCTCCGATGAGACTCTATTTCTTGGTCATACCTTAAAAAGTATTTAAAAAAAGCTCGGTGGCCACAAAATACTGAAGTTCTTTTGATGAAGGAGAAATGGAAAATGGGAGGAAGTATGTACAGTGGAGTATTACAGAAGAGGGCACAGGTGGCTGACTGGCCAGCTGATACCTTGATGCAGAAACATGGGTATGCAGAAGGGCGAGCAAATAAAAAAAGATGTATGATGATTCAAACTCCACCAATTTAGCTACTTGCATCCTGACACTGCACAGGATGGAGTTTGCACGGTGACCTCACAACACACTTTTCTTCATTTTCACGTCTCTGTGGTTTGCACTAGCACCTTGTGCAGAAATGCTTCACACAGCAACTTTTGTTGCTATAGACACTTGCCGTGTCTAACGCTCCCTGCTGAATAAATCAGAGAGAAAGAAATCTTCTGATTCCTTACCATGTTTTTTCCCTCGCTTCCACTGTCCTTCGTACTTGAAAAAGGAGTTGGGATAAACGTAACGTCCATAACCTGAGGGCAAGAGAAGTAAAATAAAAGATACAAAAATGACAGGACTATCACAGATACTTGGATAAAATAAACAAGCAAGTTTCCCAACACCTGCTGATAGAAATGCTTTGGTTCTCCAGTTTGGCTAATGCGTTGTTGGAGAAAAGGAAATAAACCTTACGTTCAGTTGAGGCAACCTAAAAGTGTTTTACTGTACACAAGGGGCTATAATGGAGAAACACTGTATTATGGTGGTTAAATGTTGGATTAGGACCAGGGAGATACAAGTGCTAGTCTCCCTTCAGCCATGGAAGCTCCCTGGGAGATTTGGGGCCAGTCATTCTCTTTCAGCTTAACCTACCTCACAGGGTTGTTGTGGTGCTGAGGGGAAACAAGTACTGCAGTTAGACATGAGTGTATATCAAATTAGAATCCTAAATCACGAAATGCTGAAAATGTTTATAAAATTCCCCCTGCCACAGGGCCCGGCCCAACATTTCCCCGCTAGGAAGTGTTTGTTCCTCAGAAAGACTCTTCTTAAAGATGGCCCCTGAAAACGGCTGAGGGAATAACCTCAAAGGTACGTCAGCACGGCTGGTTTTTGGAAACAGCGAGGAAGGAGAAGAAAGATTTATTTATATTTATGAAGAATAAATAAATGTCCCCCGGGGAAGCTCACCAACAGCCTCCCTTGGCATCCTATGGCAGGCTTCCCTAACCCGTGCACGCCTTCAGCGCGTAATTTCAAGCAAACAAATCGTTAAATAAACTAAAAACCCGTCAGGGAATTCTGAGAATTGTAATTCCCCCAGCCCGACACCTGCCGCCCACGGCCTGCCCTTCCAGCCGTCGGACGCGCATCCTGGTAGACTGCTGCCGCCCAAGG